TAAGCTCACAAACTGTAACAAATAAAACTCTAAAGAACTAAAATGTATAAATAGAAGAAGGCGCGGAGGCGAGAGAGAGGAGACTGAAGAAAACAGAGTTGCAAAGAGGAGAGATTTAAAGAAGAACGAGGTTCTGAAACAAGAAAGAATGGAGGACAAACCCTTTTTTGTTGTTGAAAGAAGGAAGCGATTAGAGTTTCTGAATCGGAAACCCTAATCACGTATTTGAATCGTTTTTGTCGCATCACCCTCAAGCTTCGCTGCACCCTCCATCGATCCTCACCATCATCTTTAAAGCGTCACTGTGATCTGAAAATGAAAAGGGAGAGGAAGGAGATCAGAACAAATCGAAGCGAACACTCAAAGTCAGAATCACTAAGGGGGTAAAACACTTAGCTCATTGTTTTTTGTTGTTTGATTTTGGGGTTGTTGTTTTGGGGTTATAGGTTGATACACGTTGGGAAAGGGGGTGAGTCGCCGTCGCCGGTAGCGGCGCTAGGGTTTGTAAGACAAAGGGTTTGTGTATTGAGAGAGAAAGAAGCATATGCACTCACGTCTTTGTCCGTTAGATCATCAGTGGACGGCCGATAGGCCAAGTCCCACTGTAATATCTGTACACCCTTGCCCACACGATCCATCCGGTCTTCCTCTCAATCCGTTTGGGCCTAAGCCCAGATGCTCTTCACACCACCCTTCCCTTGGATTGCTAAAACGCCAAATGAAATGCATCCCATGTCCAGCCAATATTAATGGGCTTAGCCAATATTCTTTTAGACACCCCCAACTTTTACTGCATAACTAGAACTACACCCCATGTAGTTTAACTAAATTAATTTTATTTTCTAATTTTTTAACAACCCATAAATTTTTCTATTTTTTTTATATATTGTTAATTTCTTTTATTTTCAATAATTATTATTATTAATCTTTTTTTTACATTTTCTATATAATTATTATTTTCTTACTATTATTATTATAATATGTTTTTTTTTTAATTATTATTTTTATTATTATTATTTATAATTATTGTTATTATTAAGAGTAATTTTTATTATTATTTATTATATGAAAGTATTACTTATTGTCATAAATAAATCATGTTTATTTAAAAAACTCATGAACATATTTTTATATATTATTTGCATTAAATTGTTTCAATCGTGCATTAATTAAGATTTTCGCAATTGATACGATTAAAAAACACAAACCAATTATCAAACTATTTTCGCAATAAACTAAACTAATCAACTGTCTTTTTGCCAATGAGTTTCAAACTAGTTTTGACTTACTACGCACGCAGTCAAAATCTTCGCGGTCACTACTCCCGACCGAGTGTGAAGTGATTCAAAATAGGTTTACAAACCCATAAAAAACACCAACCCATAAGAACTACAAATTGGGACTCTGATTCTTCATAAGAGGATACATAAGCATACGATTAAAAATTATGGCGAATCTTTCTAATTAAAACTTAAAATCCAGTTTACCCCAAACCTAAACCTAGAGTCTAATATCCTTGTGAACAAGGAGGATGAAAGGTGCCTAACACCTTCCTTTCGTCTAATTGAGTCCAAAACCTAAAATCTCTGTCTGCGAATAAGGGTTTTGTGTTAGATTCCCTTCCCTAGGATAAAAACTAATAGTGGTGAATGTTGATTAAAAAACCAGTTGCTACAGATGTTATATTGAAGCAAACTTGATGAGGAGGCTCGTAGCTTGATGAAACTTTTTGAAAAAGGCATGAAAATAAACACATGAATCTATGAAGTTTATTGATGAATCAAACTAGAAAACCTTGAGATGAACTTGACCACATTAAGTTGATAAATGCTCAAGACATAACACTTTGATTACAGAAGCATAACTTTGAAGTTCAATCCTTTGAGGTTAAATGAATAATCAATTAAATGAGGATCAATTCTCAAAACCCTAGCTTAGGAGGTAAGATGGATGCACTTGGCTCAACACCTACAATGTACAAAACACAAAAGAGAAAAAAACATATATTTGGATTTTTATTAGACGTTAGTAAAACATAAAGCATCTACGTACAAGATACACAAATGGGTGCTTGGTGATACCTCAAAGACAAACTTAAAGAAGAGAGAGAGAGAGAGAGAGAGAGAGAGAGAGAGAGAGAGAGAGAGAGAGAGAGAGAGAGAGAGAGAGAGAGAGAGAGCAAAGGTTAAGAGGCAACCTAAGGTTGTGATCTTAATGTATTGCAAATATGTAAGGTGAGGAGGGATATTATGGGTAAAAATTAGGGTATAGCACCAATCAGCAAAAAGAATTGTAGACAGCAAAAATCTATCTAGCCTGCTCATAGTTGTGCCTCCTACATTAAACCATATAAACTTACCGCCAATACAAGGTATATCTATAAGATCCATCTCTTCTATCAATCTGCAAAAATCCTCCATATCTCTGCTTATTGCCCCAACTCCTTCCCCTAACCTTTCCTTCTTGTTTGTGAAAGCGTTGAAATCACCCCCAAGCACCACTCCTCACCCATCGCAGACCATTTAACTTTCAATAAATACACCCACATCAACCTCCACACCACCGAATTACAGGATGCATAGACATTGATGAAGCTATAACAAACCCCTTTCCACTCTACATTTACTCCCACAAAACCTTCCACTCTAAAGCTAAGATTGGGGGTTATCAAATTTTTTCTCCACCGGATAACCATACAACCAGATGCACAACCAGAGTTGCAGTGAGTCCACTCCACCTCCTTCGAACCCCAAAACTCCTCTGCTAAAGTAGAATTGAAATCTTGCAACTTAATTTCTTGAAGGAAACAAAGGTCAACCTTACCCGATAGAATGATAAAACTAATTATCTTCCTATGGATTTTATCTCTGAGCTTCATCTCCTCAATGGCTTCCACCATATAATCCTCTTCTTTGTAACTGACGATATCAAGTTTATCCATGGTTTCCCACACAATCCCATCAACAGCTAACTCTGAATTCTTCATCAAATGATTGTTGCACTAAACTACATCTGAATCTGTCATAGATTCATAACACAATATCGAACCTCCAGAATAATGCTCCTCTTCAACATGATTGACTAAGGAGTTACTGTTGGAATTAAGAGATTTTGGGGTTTTCTTTGTATTGAGACATGCAAAGAAAGACGACCTGATGTCCACTTGACCCCCTCTAATCTCTAATTTCTCTTATCTTTTTCCTCTTAGGCCTAAGCTTGAGCGGGTTAAGGAAAGCTTCATCAAAGGATAATGCGCCTTTAAGAGGCTGGTCCGCACTTAAGGGGCCAAACACAAACCACATCCAAACCCCCACTAATATGGGATCCCCTAACATCTTTTAAAGTGACTACCCTAGGAGCAACCTCAGACAGCTCCGAAGTCTCCACAATTTTGGTACACATGCCAGGTCCCCTTGAGGATGATTTTTCACATTTCGTCATAATCACACCTTTCTGACCCTCTTCTACACCATTGAAAACGAAAGGTAGAAAATTGATCGAAGACAAAGGACTAGCAATATCACCCAATCCATTTTCGAACTCTACCAACTTTTACCGCCTAACACACCTTTAATTGACACGTCCTTATCATTAGAACCATTGACAAAGATAGAATCAACTTCAACCTCGTCATCGATTCCATTCTCATTTGAAACAATACTGCTACTTTCTGAAGCTGAATCCTTAGACTCTGATTCGGATAATGCCTTTGAATCCTTTAATTCTTTCATCTTCAAGGCGGCAACATGACCATGCGCCTCTTCCATAACTTTGATTCTAGATAAAATATAAAAAATGACAAATATAAATATTTTAAAATAATAATAATAAATAAAATTAATAATTTAAACTAAAAACAAAGTATATTTTAAAATAATTTTGTCTAAAAAAGCTTAAAGTTTAAGTTACAATATACAATGAACCAAAGGATTGTTAATATGTATATAGGAGTATATCATGGCATATTCACCATCATCATAAGAAATGGCATGAAACATATATTTAGTATAATATAAAAATCTTTAAAAGTTTCATTAATGTCACAATACAATGAAGTGATATATTCATCATCATAAGAAAAAGGCCTAAATGTATTTAAAATATTCAAAACATTCATTAATATTATTAGTACAAATTTTCATTTACAATTAAAAGTTAATTACAATAAGTCCAAGGATTGTTAATTTATATCTAACAGAAATGTCATATAATGACTTAATTTTTTTTAAATGGAAATATATATATATATATATATATATATATATATATATATATATATTATATATATATATATATATATATATATATATATATATATATATATATATATATATATATATATATATATATATATATATATATATATATATATATATATATATATATATTCAAAGGAGTATAGTGGGCCAAAATTGCTAAAAGATGATATAATAATAAAATAGATTAATTATTATATATTGACATGACAACTATTCAGGAATAAATAATATTTTATATATGATTATAGAAAAAGTCAAATATCAATAACAATTTAATGGTGTATATTTTAATTAAATTCATGATAAAATCTCCAAAACACTTAACATTAAATGTTATTTTTCTATTTTTATTTTATAAAGTTATCGTTTAGGTATTTTAGTTAAAAAAATTAAACTTGATAATGAAAAAAATCATCAATACATATATAAAGTGAGGATAATAAAATATCCAAAAGGAGTAAAAAGTAAAAATTTCTAAAAGATAATACAACTAAAATAATAAGAAAATATACAAATTAGTTAACATTATCATTTTGGGTATTTTAGGTAAAAGAAATTAACATATAGATATTTTAGTTAAATAGATTAAACTTTATAATGAAAAAATCATAAATTAATAATGTTATTAATAACTAATATTTTGGAGTCCCAATACAATGAATTAAGGTATTTCTAATTTGTATATAATCGCATTATGATAAAGTGATATATCCATCATCCTCATAATAAAAAGCTTAAAATATGGCAATACATTACATTTCCATTGTTGTTTTGATTGCTGTCCTTGTTGCAAGTTCTACTGCAGCCTCAGAAACAATATTATCAGATGTTAATCTTTTAGAATTTCCACTTAATTTAGAATATTTGGAAGCTGAATTCTTTTTATATGGATCAACTGGTCATGGTTTGGATAAAATTTCTCCCGAGTTAGCTGACGGTGGACCAACTCCTATTGGTGCCAAGTTGGCTAAATTCAATGACATTGTGATTAGAGATATCATCTATCAATTTGCTCTGCAAGAAGTTGGGCATTTGAGGTTCTATTTTCTATTACTTTTCTAAATCTTATATATAATTTCATCATATATATATATATATATATATATATATTGTGTTTAGTTTCTTATGTTAAGTTGAATGAATCTTAATTTCAGGGCCATAAAGAATACAGTGATAGGGTTCCCTAGACCTTTGTTAGATTTAAGTCAGTCTTCATTTTCCAAGGTGATTGACAAAGCCTTTGGACGACCTCTGCGCCCTTCTTTTGATCCATATGCAAATGATATCAACTATTTAATCGCATCTTATTTGATTCCTTATGTTGGCCTTACCGGATATGTTGGAGCAAATCCACTCCTCCAAAATGCTTCTTCCAGACAGGTATCATAAATCTTAAACCTTAAACCTAAAACTATAAATTTTTATGTTAATCATGTTGCATGTATTGTATCAGCTAGTAGCAGGTCTTCTAGGAGTAGAGTCGGGTCAAGATGCGGTTATAAGAGGATTGTTATACGAACGTCGTGCATGGAAGGTGAACCCTTATGGAGTAACCGTAGGAGAGTTCACTGACCGCATTTCGAAGCTTAGGAATCAATTAGGAAATGAAGGTGTGAAAGATGAGGGCCTTGATGAAACATTCTCATCTGGAAGCATTCTTGCTGGTGACAAATATTCACTAGCATATTCAAGGACTCCAAAAGAAATATTGAGGATTGTGTATGGAAGTGGTAATGAAACTGTCCCCGGAGGCTTTTACCCTAAAGGAGGAAATGGTCATATAGCAAGATCTTACTTGAAATAATTTAATTACAGTTATTGAGATTCATTCTCTAGCTATTGTCTCAATTTTTGTTGTTTATATAAAGAAGCTCCGAGAATGAATATAATAAGCATTTATTTTTAATGGTATAATTAATATTGTTTGAAAATTGTCTTGTTATTATATATTATGATTTGTTGTGATTTAGGCTTAAGCACATGATTTGAAGTGACTTAATTTTTTGCATTTAAATTGATATAACTAAAGTTAAAATAGAATTAGCTAGGTTGCAAAGGAGGTTGGACATTAAATAAACTTTTGAATTTTATATGATATTATCTTCAATATAATTACATCTTAAATTGTCAGAGTTTTCTAAATATATTGGTTCATAGCCATTTTAAAACATAATTGTCATTATCTTCAAGAGGCAATTTCTAACACGCCCGTTAATACTAATAACAATCTTTAAGTGATCTTGATTCATGTTTTGAATAAAAGATATTATAGTAGTATTATTTAAAATAGGGTGAGATATCAATTGTTGGATCCTTAAGTGGTATTCTTGCCGGCTATAAGACGATCAATCGTTGGATTCTCAAGTGAGATCCATTTCACCTATGAGACGATCAAATTATTAGATCCTTAAGTGGGATCCTTGTCTCCCAATAAGGAGATCAAATGGGTTTTTCCTTAAAATGGTATCGTTGCAGCTCATCGGGGAACTCATATGACCATAAAAACTCTTGGGTAGAGGTTAAAAACAAGCAGTTGGTAATAAAAGTAGTTAATATAAAAGGTGCCCCAAAGGGAAACCACTGTTCAAAATAACTACAAAAGCGCCCAAAGGGGGATAAAAATACAATCACCCCCAAAGAGAAAAAATAAATACAACCAAAAAAAGATTGGAAGATAATTGAAAAGGGGAAGCTGTCGTACCCCAAATTTGCCTTACCTTTATGATCGTATTTTCGAAATTAAAAATAGAAGAGAATGTTTTAATTAAGGATGGTCCAGCAATATCTGATGGATCATTCTCAAATCCAAGTCAACCAGGGGGTGTATTTTAATTCATGTGAGTGGGGCTTTCTAAGTCAGAAAGACTCATGAATTCTTAGGCCCATATATAAAGTATGTTGGCCAATGGCCCATGAAATTCGAATATGAAAGATTATTTCAGAAAAATTATTAAGTTCTTAAGTTATAAAGTCCATTTAAGTTTTGTTGTTGTTAGTAAGAAGAAGAGGTTGAAATTGCAATATGAGAGCCCATTCTATTTGGCCCATTTCCATTTCCATTGCAATATGGTTAGTAAAGGCCCATTAAGGTTCTTGGTCATTTATATTGTTACTGTTTTATTTAAAAAAATTATTATTATTAAAACATTGTTTTACGGATTTTATATATATATATATATATATAAACTATTTATTAACATAAGGCCCAAATGGAAGTCTGCTGTAAGAGAAGGGGGTGAAAATTCAAATTACATACCCATTAAGTTAAATTAGCCCATTTGACGATTGCCATATCTGTTTTAAAACATTATCATTAAACTTCTTCTATTCATAATTATTTATAAAATATTTTTACAAAGTATTAAAAGATTTATCATTTTTAAAATATTTTATTATTTCATTAAATATTTTATTAAGAGTTTTAATGTTTGTAAAGAGTTGGTTTGATATCAAATCTACTGGGCCCAGTCTGTGTTAAAAAAAGTGTTGGTCGTAACCAAAAAAAAGTTGTTGTTTGGCTAAACAAAAAATATATAATAACACTGGCCCAAATTCAGAAAACGGGTACTGTATCAATCATTAACAAATTAATGCGTTATTTGGTATCAAAAACTAACACGGTAGAAATTAAGAACTAAATCTAAGACAATCAATATCACAACAAAATTAAATCAAATCTCAAAACATAAAATTGTCTACAGAACAAACCTTTATTACAAAACCAAATCGCAAATATTACCAAGGAAATCCAAATATTACAGTAAAACTCAATCAAATACAGTAGAATCAATAATCAGAATCAATACGTTTACAAAATCGCGTATTACAGAAAACTAATCTCACTACAGATTACAAAATCAAATCTAAAACAAAATCTGGAAATGAAATATATTACAAGATTTACAGTACAAACCCTAAAGCGACAAAACCTCTAAATATATATAATTAATTCCGAATCAATTACAAAAATCCAATCCCTAATTGAAGCTAATTCCTAAATCTAAGCTCACAAACTGTAACAAATAAAACTCTAAAGAAATAAAATGTATAAATAGAAGAAGGCACGGAGGCGAGAGAGAGGAGACTGAAGAAAACAGAGTTGCAAAGAGGAGAGATTGAAAGAAGAACAAGGTTCTGAAACAAGAAAGAACGGAGGATAGACCCTTTTTTGTTGTTGAAAGAAGGAAGCGATTAGAGTTTCTGAATCGGAAACCCTAATCACGTATTTGAATTGTTGTCACCGCATCACCCTCAAGCTTCGCCGCACCCTCCATCGATCCTCACCATCATCTTTAGAGCGTCATTGTGATCTGAAAAAGAAAAGGGAGAGGAAGGAGATCAGAACAAATCGAAGCGAACACTCAAAGTCAGAATCACTAAGGGGGTAAAACACTTAGCTCATTGTTTTTTGTTGTTTGATTTTGGGGTTGTTGTTTTGGGGTTATAGGTTGATACACGTTGGGAAAGGGGGTGAGTCACCGCCGCCGGTAGCGGCGATAGGGTTTGTAGGACAAAGGGTTTGTGTATTGAGAGAGAAAGAAGGAGATGCATGCTGTAAGATAAAAAATGAAACGCGATGTAAAACAAAATTTTGTATGATGTCAACAATCCAGTATGTGCAGACCCATGATAAATAAGATGCACTCGCATCTTCGTCCGTTAGATCATCAGTGGACGGCCGATAGGCCAAGTCCCACTGTAATATCTGTACACCCTTGCCCACAAGATCCATCCGGTCTTCCTCTCAATCCGTTTGGGCCTAAGCCCAGCTGCTCTTCACACCACCCTTCCCTTGGATTGCTAAAACGCCAAATGAAATGCATCCCCTGTCCAGCCAATATTAATGGGCTTAGCCAATATTCATTTAGACACCCCCCAACTTTTACTGCATAACTAGAACTACACCCCCCCATGTAGTTTAACTAAATTAATTTTATTTTCTAATTTTTTAACATCCATATATTTTTCTATTCTCTTTTTTTTATATATTATTAATTTCTTTTATTTACAATAATTATTATTATTAATTATTTTTTTTTACATTTTCTATATAATTATTATTTTCTTACTATTATTATTATAATATGTTGTTTTTTTAATTATTATTAGTTATAATTATTGTTATTATTAATAGTAATTTTTATTATTATTTATTATATGAAAGTATTACTTATTGTCATAAATAAATCATGTTTATTTAAAAAACTCATGAACATATTTTTATATATTATTTGCATTAAATTGTTTCAATCATGCATTAATTAATATATTTTCGCAATTGATACGATTAAAAAACACAAACCAATTATCAAACTATTTTCGCAATAAACTAAACTAATCAACTGTCTTTTTACCAATGAGTTTCAAACTAGTTTTGACTTACTACGCACTCAGTCAAAATCTTCACAGTCACTACTCCCGGCCGAGTGCGAAGTGATTCAAAATAGGTTTGCAAACCCATAAAAAACACCAACCCATAAGAACTACGAATTGGGACTCTGATTTCTCATAAGAGGATACGTAGGCATACGATCAAAAATCGTGGCGAGTCTTTCTAATTAAAACTTAAAATCCAGTTTACCCAAAACCTAATACTAGAGTCTAATATCCTTGTGAACAAGGTGGATGAAAGGTGCCTAACACCTTCCTTTCGTCTAATTGAGTCCAAAACCTAAAATCTCTGTCTGCGAATTAGGGTTTTGTGTTAGATTCCCTTCCCTAGGATAAAAACTAATAGTGGTGAATGTTGATTAAAAAACCAGTTGCTACAGATGTTATATTGAAGCAAACTTGATGAGGAGGCTCGTAGCTTGATGAAACTTTTTGAAAAAGGCATGAAAATAAACACATGAATCTATGAAGTTTATTGATGAATCAAACTAGAAAACCTTGAGATGAACTTGACCACATTAAGTTGATAAATGCTCAAGACATAACACTTTGATTACAGAAGCATAACTTTGAAGTTCAATCCTTTGAGGTTAAATGAATAATCAATTGAATGAGGATCAATTCTCAAAACCCTAGCTTAGGAGGTAAGATGGATGCACTTGGCTCAACACCTACAATGTACAAAACACAAAAGAGAAAAAAACATATATTTGGATTTTTATTAGACGTTAGTAAAACATAAAGCATCTATGTACAAGATAAAAAAATGGGTGCTTGGTGATACCTCAAAGACAAACTTAAATAAGAGAGAGAGAGAGAGAGAGAGAGAGACAGAGAGAGAGAGAGAGAGAGAGAGAGAGAGAGAGAGAGAGAGAGAGAGAGAGCAAAGGTTAAGAGGCAACCTAACGTTGTATCTTAATGTATTGCAAAGATGTAAGGTGAGGAGGGATATTATGGGTAAAAATTCGGGTATAGCACCAATCAGCAAAAAGAATTGTAGACAACAAAAATCCATCTAGCCTGCTCATAGTTGTGCCTCCTACATTAAACCATATAAACTTACCGCCAATACAAGGTATATCTATAAGATCCATCTCTTCTATCAATCTGCAAGAATCCTCTATATCTCTGCTCATTGCCTCAACTCCTTCCCCTAACCTTTCCTTCTTGTTTGTGAAAGCGTTGAAATCACCCCCAAGCACCACTCCCCACCCATCGCAGACCATTTAACTTTCAATAAATATGCCCACATCAACCTCCACACCACCGAAATACAGGATGCATAGACATTGATGAAGCTATAACAAACCCCTTTCCACTCTACATTTACTCCCACAAAACCTTCCACTCTAAAGCTAAGATTGGGGGTTATCAAATTTTTTCTCCACCGGATAACCATACAACCAGATGCAC